CTCCTCCTCCACCTCCTCTTCCTTGTTTTCCATCTCCTTTTCCTCCTCCCCTCCCACTGGCACATACCTTCAAGCCACAAACCAAAGGGAAACGCCATTTCTCGGTGAAGAGGCCTCCAGCTTCTCCTCACGTTGTTACCCTGCCAAACAGGCAGCACTTACTCTTGGAGGAGGTGTTGACAAAAATGTTTGCAGTTTCAAAGCATCACAGAGAACTCTGGTTAGCGTTCAATTATTAGAGAAAGCACAGCAGCTCTATTGGAAGCCTGGCGCCAGTGGCTCACGCCTGTCATCCTATCTACTCAGGAGGCTGAGATCTGAGGATCAAGGTTCAAAGCCAACCCAAGTAGGAAAATGTCTGTGAGACTCTTATCTCCAATGACCCAGAAAAAGAAAAGAAATATAGAAATAGAGATGTGGCTCAAGTGGTAGAGTGTGAGCCTTGAGAAAAAGCAAAAAACTAAGTGAGAAAGAAGACCCTGAGTTAAGTCCGCTCCCCTCTGTCCCTTGGACTCCAGAAAAGGAACCTCCATATAAATGCATATGCAGGTGACTCTTCTGATACGTGTGTGTGTGTGCACACGCATGTGTGTGCATGTGTGTGTGTGTCCCAGGGCTTGAACTTAGGTCCTGGATACTGTTCTTGAGCTTCTGTGCTCAATGCTGGTGCTCTACCACTTGAACCACAGCTCCACTTCCAGCTTTTTTTTGGTGGTTCATTGGAGATAAGAGTCTCTTGGACTTAGCCTAAGCTGGCTTCAAACCTCGATCCTCCAGCTCTCAGCCTCCTGAGTAGCTGGGAGGACAGATGTGAGCCACCGGTGCCCAAAAGCTGGTTTTCTAATCTAATCAATGCTTTCTGGGCTGTGAATTCTGCCTGCAACTGGGAGAGTGGCCAGGGGGACCCCCCCGCCCCTCCCCAGGTCCCCGGCACCGTCCCTACCCTCTCTGCCTCTTAGGCATGTTCCTTGGGAACTTGCCATTCTTCACCGTTCTCAAGGTGTGACCCAGAATGTAGGCACAGCCTGCAGTGAAGAGCTCAGCATCAGAAGAAGGGGGGCCAGGGGCCGTGGCGCACACCTGTCATCCCAGCTACTCAGGAGGCTGAGATCTAGAGGATCGTGGTTTGAAGCCAGCTCAGGGCAGGGAAGTCCATGAGACCACCCCCACCCCCAAAAAAAGAAGTGGACTCAAATGATGGCGTGCTAGCCTTGTGCAATAAAGCACAGGGGCAGCACCACGGCCCAGAGTTCAGTCCTGAGGACAGGCAGGAGGAGGAGGAGGAGGAGGAAGAGGAGGAGAAGGAGGAGGAAGAGCAGGAAAGAAAAGGAGGAGGAGAGGAGGTGGTGAAGGTACAGGAGGAGGAGAAGAAAGGAGGAAATGGAGGAGGAGGAGGAGAAGGGGAAGAAGAATGGGAGGAGGAGGAGGTAAAAAGAGGAAGAGGAGGTGGTGGTGGTGGTGATGCAGGAGGAGAAGGAAGGAGGAGGAAGAGGAGAGGAGGAGGAGGAGAAGAATGGGAGGGGGAGGAGGAGAAGGAAGAGAGGAGACAAGAAGGAGGAGAGGAGATGGTGATGGAGATGGAGGAGGAGGAAGAAGAGGCGAAGGAGAAGAGAATGAAGAGAGGAGGAGGAGGAGAAGAAGAAGAAGAAGAGGAGGAGAAGAGGAGGAGGAGGAGGGGGAGGAGGAAGAGGAGGAGAAGGAGGAGGGGAGGAAGAGGAAGAGAAGAGGAGGAGGAGGGGGAGAAGAAGAGGAGGAGGAAGAGGAGAGGAGGAGGAGGAGGAGGAGAAGAAGGAAGAAAAAAGGAAGAAGGAGAAGGAGAAGAAGAGGAGGAGGAGGAGAAGAAGAAGATGAGGAGGAGGAGGAAGAGAAAGAGGAGGAGTAGAAGAAGAATTGGAGGAAGAGGAAGAGAAGAAGGAAGGGAAGAGGAGGAAGAGGAGGAGGAGAAGAGAAGAGGAGGAGGAGGGGGAGGAGGAAGAGAAGAGGAGGGGAGGAGGAGAGGAAGGAGGAGCAGGAGCAGCAGGAGGAGGAGCAGATGGGGGTGGCGCGCAGTGTTGGGTGCTCCCCCGGGGCGCGTCGCGCTGGTTTCTAGCCAACCCTGGGTGTTTGGCAGCTGCAGCCTCCCCCAGAGCCCAGCCCAGGCCTCAGGTGCTGCTCACCAGGCCGGCCCTGGGGGACAGCGGGCCAGGAGGACACGGGAGGAGGGGTGAGGAAGAGAGAGAGGGCACTGGAGAGCAGCCCCAGCCCCGCTCCACCTACAAGCACACCTGGCTTTTGGGGTACAGGCTGATCTCCCCATTCTTCCACCCCTGCAAACCCCCCCTTCTCTCCCCCAGGAATGGGAGCCATAGTTGGACCTGGTCAGCGCCTCCTAGTGGCCCTGGCCAGCACCGGGGGCAGGAGGGAGGGATGGGGGCAGATGTATTCATTTTTGCCAGTCTTGAGGTTTGAACTCAGGGCCTGGGCGCTGTCCTTGAGCAGCAGCAGTAGTGGCGGCTTCTTCTTCTTCTTCTTCTTCTTCTTCTTCTTCTTCTTCTTCTTCTTCTTCTTCTTCTTCTTCTTCTTCTTCTTCTTCTTCTTCTTCTCCTTTCCTTCTCCTTCTCCTTCTCCTCCTCCTCCTCCTCCTCCTCCTTGTTCTCTTTCTTCCTCTTCTTCTTCCTCCTCCTCCTCCTCCTCTTTTCTTCCTTCTTCTTCTCCTTCTCCTCCTTCTCCTCCTCCTTCTCCTCGTTCTCCTTCTCCTTCTTCTTCTTCTTCTTCCTTCTTCTTCTTCTCCTTCTCCTTCTTCCTCTTCTTCCTCCTCCTCCTCCTCCTCTTTTCCTCTTCCTCCTCCTCCTCCTCCTCCTCCTCCTCTTCTTCCTCCTCCTCCTTCTCCTCCTCTTTCTTCTTTGCCAAGGCTAAGTCCTCTACCACTTTGAGCCCAAGCATCACTTCTGGCTTTTTCTGAGCAGTTGACTGGAGATTAAGAGTCTCACCGACTTTCCTGCCTCTGGGCTGGCCTCGAACCTTGATCCTCTAAATCTCAGCCTCCCGAGGAGCGAGGATGACAGGCGAGAGCCGTCAGCAGCTGTCTGGCAGATTTCTTTTTTCCTTTCAGGTTTTCCTAGGCCAGAATGATTGGTGTAAGGCCTAGAAAGTCTGCCAACTTCTCTGTGTGTGGGGGGGGGGGAGTGGTGTTGGTGTGTTGGTACTGGGGCTTGAACTCGGGGCCCTGGGTGCTGTCCCTTCAGCTTTTTCTGTCAGGGGTGGTGCTCTACCTCTTGAGCCACAACTTCACTCTTAGCTTTGTTTGTTTGTTTCTGATTCATTAGAGGTCGGAGCCTCATGAACTTTCCTGCCTGGGCTGGCCTTTGAACTGCAATCCTCCAGATCTCAGCCTCCTGAGAAGCTGGGATGACAGGCGTGAGCCTCGGTGCCCCCCACTCTTACCTACATTTTTACAGAACACAATTTGTCCCCTAAGCTTTTTGGGGTAAAGCTGATGGGGCCAAAGACAAACTCAGATGGGGCCAGGCAGGCAGCCGGCCCGCGGGGATGCACCAGCCAAGGCGCCATCATCCCATTTAGTTTGCTTCCTGGTTCTGAGCTCACAGTGCCTTGCTGGGAAGTGGCTGGAAAGGCAAATTTGCACATATAAGGTTATTTTTTGTTTTCCTCTTTTAAAGGCATTTTGGTTCTAACTCAGCACCAGGTCTTCCCTGCTAGGATGAAATAAAAGAAATCAAGTGAACCCCAAAGCTCCACCGCCATCTCAGTCAGCAAGATCTCCCCCTGTGTGCCGAGAAGAAAACGTTACCTTTGTGGGCACCGGGGATGTGTTCACCAAATCCTCCCCTGTGTTCACTGGCTTGGGGCAGGCGGTGACGTCACAGGCATGCGCAGAGGCCCAACCGGCCAGTCCCTCCTCCTTTCCCTCCCATCCACTAAGGATGAAGCCATTCAAGTGTCAGGCATTTGCCCACCATTGCTAACTGTGAGGCTGAGTGTAGGTGGTGTTTACTTTTTGTGTTGTGTTGTTGTTTTGTTGTTGGTGGTGGTTTTTTGGCCAGTCCTGGGGCTTGAACTCAAGGCTGGTGCTCTACCACTTGAGCCACAGCGCCACTTCTGGCTTTTTCTGTGTATGTGGTGCTGAGGAATGGAGCCCAAGGACTTCATGCATGCTAGGCGAGCACTCTACCACTAAGCCACCTTGCCAGCCCTTGTGTTATGTGTGTGTGTGTGTGTGTGTGTGTGTGTGTGTGTGTGCTTGTGCCAGATTTGAACTCAAGGCCTGGGCTCTGTCCCTGATTGTTTTTGTTTTTTTTTTTTGCTCAAGACTAGCTCTCTCCCACATGAGCCACAGCTCTACTTCTGGTGTTTGGAGAGGTGTTTATTGGAGATAAAGAGTCTCGTGGACTTTCCTCCCTGAGCTGGCTAGGAATTGGGACCCTCCAGATCGCAGCCCCTGGCACAGATGAGTAAGAGCAGAGGGGAAAAAAGGCAGATCAAAGACTCCCATGTGATGGCACTGTCTAGTTCCCATAAGCCTCCTCACTCTGTAAGCATTTTAGAACCTGACTTGGCCTCTCTACCTTCCAAGAGCCGACTGCTTATTCTCAGACAAGCTTTGCCCTTTTTGGTCAGCTATGGGACTTGAACTCAGGGCCTGGGCATTGTCTCTGGGTTTCTTTTGCCCAAGGCTGCCGCTCGACCACTTTGAGCCATTTATGGCACCACTTCCGGTTTTCTGGTGGTTTACTGGAGATAAGGAGTCTCACGGTCTCTCCTGCCCAGGCTGGCTTTGAACAGCGATCCTCAGATCTCAGCCTCCTGAGTAGCTGGGATGACAGGCATGTGAGCCACCAGCGCACAGGGCTAGCTTTGCCCCTTGAGGGTGCTGTGGAATTGCCCCCCCCCCACTTCCTGGCTTGAATGGATGCTCTCTCCTCGCTCTGTTTTCCTCTTGTTCCATGGGTGGCGGAGGCCCTGGTGAGGCCTGGAGGTCACGTGACTTGCACAGGCCCCTGTGGGGGTTGATACAGGAAACTGGAGACTGGCCTGGCCACGCCCCATCTCCTCCTACAGGAGTAGTGGGGGGGCGGGGAGGGGGGCAAGGAGGGTGGGGAGGGCTGCCAGGACCCAGGGGACACTATCATCTTTGTGTCTGCAGTACTCTAGTGTGTGTGTGTGTGAGAGAGAGAGAGATTACTGGGGTTGGAACTCAGGACCCGGGCACTGTCCCTTGGCTTTTTCGTTTCCTGACTGGTGCTCTACCACTTGAGCCATAGCTCCCTTATTTGGCTTTTCTCTTTTGGGTGGTTCATGGGAGGTAAGAATCTCTGTCTGTCCCGGCTGGCTTTGAACCATGATCCTCCTATTGGCTCTCCAGAAGCTAGGATTAGAGGTCTGGCCAGGGAGAAGCCCATGGCTTCCTGGAGCCTGGTAAACCGAGCCTGAGCAGTTTGGTGGGCCAGCCCTACTCTGGCCCAGGGAAATGCACCACGCCTGGTCACCTGGTCGCTCAGATGACAGAGTTGGAGAATGAATTACAAGCAGGAAGTGGGGAGGTTGTGGGGTTCGAACTCAGGGCCTGGGTGCTGTCCCTGACTTGTAAGGCTGGTACTCTACCACTTTGAGCCACAGAACCACTTCCAATTTTCAGGTGGTTCATTGGAGATGAGAAGTCTCACAGGCATTCCTGCTCAGGCTGGCTTTGAACCGAGATCCTCTAGATTCTCAGCCTCCTGAGCAGCTGGGGTGACCAGCGCCCCGCTCCTTAGGATCCACAAGCATTAGGCCGGCCAGGCGGGGGGTCACACAGTGGCAGCTTCTCCATTTGGTGGTTGGAGTTGTGCTAGGGATAAAGAGCCAGTCCCTAGCCCCTGGTCCCCTGGTCCCTGGAGCTTAATTAAGCAGAGCTGTGGGCCACCTGTGGGAGCTTTGTTTGGCAGCCCAGAGCCTGGGGTGTGGCGTTGTGAGCTGAGGGAGGGAGGGACAGGGAGGGATGAGGAGGTCTCTGGGGCAGGGAGGGGGCGGGGCTGCCCATTGTCCCTGCCTGCCTCCATCCCTCCACCCCCCAGCCTATGAGCTGCCCCTTGGCTTCTTTCTCCAAATCTGGCAGAGGTGAGGGAAGAAGGGGAGGAGGGGAGGAGATCCAGCAGCTTTGACCAGCCTCAAGTGGGCAGAGTGAGGCAGGTAGCCTATCTATCACCCTTGCTCCTCAGGAGGCTGAGATCTGGAGGATCGCGGTTCAAGGCCAGCCCCCTGCAGAAACGTCCGTGAGACTCTCATCTCCAGTGAACTCCCTGAAAATTGGAAGTGGCGCTGTGGCTCAAAGTGGCAGCCTTGAGCAAGAGAGCTCAGGGGCAGTGCCCAGGCCCTGAGTTCAAGCCCCACGACCTGCACAAACCAACCAACCAACACCCTCTGAAAGTCTAGGCCAGTGGCTCACACCTATCATCCTAGCTACTCAGGAGGCTGAGATCTGAGAGTTGTGGTTCAAAGCCAGCCTGGGCAGGAAAGTCTAAGAGACTCTGTATCTCCAACCAACCATCCAAAAGCTGGAAGTGGAGATGTAACTCAAGTGGTAGAGCTCCAGCCTGAAGCCAAAAACAAAGAGCTAAAGGACGACACCTAGGCCCTGAGTTCAAGTTCTAGAATTGGCACATACGTGTGCGTGCACGCACACGCACACACACACAGAAACCCACAAACCAACCCCCCACCCACAGTGTGTCTCTTGGGAGCCACTCCCATGGAGGTGGGGGTGGGGGTGGGGGTGGGGGTGGGGGTGGGGGTGTGGCGGGCTCTTGGCCTGTCCCTCCGATGGTCTTTCCTTGACGCTGCCGCCACGCTCTTCAGCATGCTCATCATGTGCACCATCCTTACCAACTGCGTGTTCATGGCCCAACACGATCCTCCTCCCTGGACCAAGTATGTCGAGTGAGTATCTTCCAGACTTCACCCTTCCTTCCTTCCCAGAGGCCTCCCCAGATTAGAAAACTGTCTCAAGTGGTAGAGCGCCAAACTTGAGCAAAATGAATTCCGAGGCAGTGCCCAGGCCGTGAGTTCAAGTCCCACAACTAACATACACACACACTCACACACACAAAGGCTAGGAAAACTGTTCAAGCTGGGAGCTGGTGGCTCACACCTGTCAGCTACTCAGGAGGCTGAGATCTGAGGATCAAGGTTCAAAACCAGCCCAAGCAGGAAAGTCCTTGAGATTCTTATGTCCAAGGAACCACCAGAAAATCAGAAGTGGTGCTGTGGCTCAAAGCGGTAGAGCGCTTGCCTTGAGCAAAAGCAGCCCAGGCCCTGATTCAAGTCCCAGGACTTGACAACAACAACAACAACAATAATAATAATGGGGTGGAAGATTCACAGGTATTTAAACAGAGCTTGCAGCATTCTAGAAGAGCCTGGCGTGACCACGCACTGCTGTCCCCTCCCCAGGGTGGGCACACGTGTGGAGTTGGTACCGAGTGGGGCATAGACTGGCAGAGGCCACCTGCAATCTCAGCCCCGCCTTCCCCCAGGTACACCTTCACCGCCATCTACACCTTCGAGTCCCTGGTGAAGATCTTGGCCCGAGGCTTCTGCCTGCACGCGTTCACCTTCCTGCGGGACCCTTGGAACTGGCTGGACTTCAGCGTCATCGTCATGGCGTAAGTACAGCCGCTCTCCACGGCCTGCTGGAGGTCTTTGCATGCCTAGGCCTCAGGCACCCGGGCCTCCTCGTCTGGGCCTCCTGCTTTTATAATACAAGTACCTCTATGCACCTGATATGGAAAATAAGCCTTCCTTGTCCCTTTGGATGGGATGAGGAAAGGGTCAGAGGCCCTTGGCCAACCCCAGTAGGGAGAAACAAGTCCAGAGATTAAAGGATGACAATGGGCAGCAAAGAGCCAGAAGTGGAGGCATGGTTCAAGTGGTAGAGCGCCAGCCTTGACGGGGGGGGAGCTAAGCAAAAGTATGAGGTGCTGAGTAAGGGCTCCAGTGGCTTCTGGGCTTAGCCCCCTCCTCCCCACCCCTCCACCCCCATCTGGCCCATGACAGCCTTGTGCTCAAGGGACATTATTGACATTCAGCTTGTGCTGTGGCCCAAGTGGTAGAGTGCCAGCCATAAGTAAGAAAGTTCAGGGAAGCTGGGTGCTGGTGGCTCACGCCTGTCATCCTAGCTACTCAGGAGGAGGCTGAAATCTGGAGGATCGCAGTTCAGAGCCAGCCTGGGCAGGAAAGTCTGTGAGACTCTTACCTGCAATGAATCACCGGAAAACCGGAAGTGGCGCCATATACATGGCTCAAAGTGGTAGAGCGCCAGCCTTGAGCGCAAAGAGGCTCATGGACAGCACCCAGGCCCTGAGTTCAAACTCTAGTATCAGCATACAGAGAGAGAGAGAGGCTGGTAGAAATGATCTGGGAGAGAGGGAGACATTGGAGGATGGGGAAGAATTTCAGAAACCAAGCCTTTAAGCTTTGCTGAGCACGGGCACCACCACAGCCCTGACCTTCAGCTCCAGGAAAGGCAGGATTTCTCGGGTTTGGGGTTGGAGGCAGATTGATAAGGGTTGATGATAAGAGAAAGCATTTTTCTCTTCCTGATTGCTTCTATTTTCTCTGTGAAATAAGTGGCCGAATCATCAGGCAGAAGAGAGCAGGGAGACGCGAGGGTTGGGGTTGTCGGAGGAGAGAGGTTGCACAGGGCTTGGAGATGGAATAAGATGGTGAGGTTGGATTTGGGGGTCTGCGCGAGCCCCTCCCACACAGGGGGCAAGGCCTGGATGCAAATGAGCCACGGGCTCTCCCCAGGGACTGGGACATCATTGGCCTAAGCCTAGCTCTCATAGCAAGGGAAGAAGGCACACAGATGGGCCCTTAGGCTAGAGGTTTTACAGCATGAAGTCTTGGCCCGTGTGTTTCTGGAAGATGCCTCTTGTAGAACGCCAGGTCCTCTGCCAGACCTCTTGTTCTGTTCTCTTGGAAGAATGTTCAGTTCCGATCCACAGGGGATCCTAGAGGAAACCACCCCTGCAGATAGACAGATGATAGATAGTTGGATGGATGGATGGATGGATGGATGGATGGATGGATATATAGATAGGCCTTTCTGCCAGGCTCAATCACCACCATTCCCAAGCTTCTCACAGAAATGGTAGGTCCTAGCCAGGCACCTGTGGCTCACACCTATCATCCCAGCTACTCAGGAGGCTGAGTTCTGAGGATCTCAGTTCGAGGCCAGCACAGGCAGGAAAGTCCATGAGACTCTTTCTCAATTTCCACCAGAAAATCAGAGGGGGAACTGTGGCTCAAAGTGGGAGATGGCTAGCCTTGAGCAAAAAAAAAAAAAAAAACTCAGGGATAGCATCGAGGTCCTGAGTTCAAGCCCCAGGACTGGCGCAATGAAGAAAGAAATCACAGGTCTGCGTTCCTGAACACTGCCGGTAGCCAATCCCATTGTAATTTCAGCTTTGTGCCAGGGCCTGGATTGGTTTTGATTCACATTGGTTTTACTTTGTGAGAACCAACAAGCCGGGCACGGGTGGCTCACGCCTGTCAGCTTCTCAGGGGAATGAGATCTAGAGAATCATGGGGTTCAAAGCCAGCCTGGGCAGGAAAGTGCGTGAGACTCTTATCTCCAATGAACCAACCCCCCAAAACAGTGAAGCCGTGGTTCAAGGGGTGGATTGTTAGCCTTAAGCTCAAAAGCTCAGGGACAAAATGCCCAGGACCTGAGGTCAAACCCCAGGGCCAGCAAACAAAAGAAAACCAAATGAATTCTAATTTCTGCATCCTAGGATAGACACCATAACTCAGAAGTCACAAGGTGTTCACAAGGAGCTTTGGATGTGGCCGGCGTGCTGGAATTCTCCATCCACTCTCCATTAGGCAGATGAGAGAAACTGAGGCACAGAGAGAACTTAACACTTGCCTGGGTGGGGGGGGGGGAACAAAACAAAACAGAAAAAAAAAAACAAACCAAAAACTAAAAACACCTGATGCCAAGAGCCCGCAGTAACGCTTGGATGAAAGCCAAGGGTTGGAATAACACCAGCTCGCCTCTCAGAGATGGCCAGGGAAGACATTCAAGATCTCCTGCTCCAGGTCTCCTTGCACCTGGCTGACCGCCCCCCCCTCACCCCCACTCAGATCACTTTCCGGTGCCCACCTCACTGCCACCACCCCCTCCCACCTCAGCTGGGCATTACCTGATAGTTAGCACAACCTCCCACCAACTGGGGTTGCTATGGAAACCAGACCTGGAGGGGAAGGAGGGAGGACTGAAGAGGAGGTGGGGGGGGGCACCGTCTTAACTAGCAGCGTGGGCTTTGCTGTCTCCAGAAAAGTAGTTGCGGGGAGAGAGAGAATAGGAAGAAAACCCATACCTGGTCAAGTCCCCCCCTCTCCTGCCTCCCCCTCCCCCTTCCCCATTATTCTGTCTGCGATGCTGGCTGTAGAACTCGCATCCAACACCACTGCTCCTCCCCAAAGCCGGGACTATATCAGCTTACCCAGCTACCCGGCAGCAGAGAAAGCAGTTGGTGGCTTGGAGAGGTGAGAGTTTATTTTTTTCTCTCCCAGCCTGAGAGGGGGCCAAACTCTGCCATTCCTCACTCTACTCAACCCACACCAATCCCCAAAAAATAAATAAAAAGCTGGTCGTGTGCCAGAAGAGCGTCTTTCCTGCCCCCGCCAGGCCCCAAGACAGATCTTGGAGGCCTAAGCACCCAAACATGGGAGACAGCCATGTTCTGAGTAGGGCAAAAACACCCCTCAAGTCCCAGACCTCTTCCTGGACCACATCCCTCCCCCAAGACTTTCTCCAGCCTATCATTGCTATCCATATAAACAGAACCACTAACCTCGCCCCAGCATCTTAGCCTATCAGGAGCTTGGATGCATTTCTCCCCCACTCCCATCATTGGCCTGACTTTGTCATGGGGGGGGGGGTGCCTGGCTTCTCTTGGCTCAGCACCAGTCTCTGAGGAGGCCGGCCATGTATGGAGACCCAGAATGCATGGAGCAGGCCAGCTTTGTTCCTGGAGGGACTGGAGTCAACAAGGCTTGTTACCGGGAGGGAGAGGAAGGCAAGGATGGTTCGTTCCCTCTGACCCATCCAATGGCACCCATAGCTAGAAGACTTGGCCTCAGAACTATGTTCTGAGCAGAGGGACAGGTTGCATGTTTCAAGTCATACACACTCCTCCCCAAGAGACCAGCAGGAGAAAGCTGGGGTGCAGAGCCCCAGGGAGAGGGCGAGGAGGAAGCCGGAGGCACTGGGCTTCCATGGGGACCATCATTTCAACTGAGGCCCAGCCTCAGTTCAGAGGGAGGCTGTCTAGCAGGCCTGAGAATCTCATCCAATGAGAAGGGGCTTGCTATCGAAAACCGAGAAGGTGGGCAGGTGCTAGTGGCTCACACCCTTCATCCCAGCTACTCAGGAGGCTAAGATCTGGAGGATCGCAGGGTTCGAAGCCAGCCTAGAGCAGGGAAGTCCACGAGACTCTTATCTCCAGTGAACCACTCACAAACCAGAAGTGGAGCTGTGGTTTAGCCCACATAAGTCTGAGAATGATCTGGAACCTGCACCCACCAACCACCACAAGAAGCTGGCTGTATCTCTCCCCCCCCCCGTCCCTCCCTCCCTCTCCCCCACCTCGTGTAGGGCTTTGTGAATAAGGAAAGGATGGTCCCATGTAAATGGACAGATGACAGATGTGTCAAAAAAAAGTCAGTCAGACCAGGCTGGTGGTGTGGGTAGGAGGGGACTACATGATGTCCCTCGAGAGACGGCTGGGTCCTTTCTTAGGGTCACTCAGGTCCCCAAGACTTGCTCAGAAACCCTGAGCAGCATGGAGGGGACCGGGGAAGTCTAAGATGGCAAGACTGGAGTGGGTTTGGCTGCCAGTCCTGTGCTGTCCCGGACCTGAGGCCCCTCCACCCCATGAGCCCTGAGATTCCTCTACCCCACGTCCGGGGCTAACACAGCAGGAGCTCTGGTTAAATGTCAGCCACCTTGGGTGCCTGAGACCTTTGGTTAAACATCACAGGTGACATTTGCCACTCTGTCCCCGGCGGCCTTGGCCACATACCATCCCGCTGTCTGTCTGCCTAGAGTTCCCGCTCTGCCTGGGTGGGCCTTGGGCCTCTAAAATCAGGCCTCCCAGGCCACTGGGGAGGCTCTGTCCTGTGACGGGGGAGAGCCCCCTAAAACACTCGGCCTGATGTCGGATCTGTGTCAGATCTGCATCACGCAGGCCCTCAGAACAGTGCCTCATCGCTCAAGGTCACCTCTCAAACCATCTCTGGAGGAGGCTAAGGTCCCAGGATGAGCCACTGTGTGGGCACATGATGGCTGGCCATCACCCCGGGGAATTTTCATTCTGTTGCTTCTTCTTCTCCTCTGCCTCTTCCTCCTTCTCCTCTTTCTCCTTTCTTAATTCCTGCTCCTATCTTCCTCTTCCTCCACCAACTCTTCTTTCCTTCCTTCCCTTTCTTTCTTTCCTCCTCCTCCTCCTCTTCCTCTTCCTCCTCCTCCTCCTCTTCCTCTTCCTCCTCCTCCTCCTCTTCCTCTTCCTCCTCCTCCTCCTCCTCTTTCTCCTGCCCCTCTTTCTCTTCCTCCTCCTGGGCTGGCCCATTGCTCCTGAATAGATAAAGATGGACACTCAGGACGCTCCCACCTGAGGCTCTGTTTTATGTCTTCTGCTGAGTTCCTGTACTGTCTTCGGAGCTTCAGTGTCCACTCCTCTCGCGGAGGGATCTGGTGTTGGAAGGCACACATGGGCAGCCCTTAGACCCCCAGCCGTGCCTCTGTGGTGGTCTCTGCTAAGGCCTCAGGATTCCTTGGGCTGAGCAGCCAAGCACAAGCTAGTGACAGAGAAGCAGAAGAGCCCAGAGTAAAACTAGAACCCCAGCTGGGCACTGTGGCTCATGTCTGTAATCTCACCGACTCAGGAGGCTGAGATCTGAGAAATCTCATTTCTAAGCCAGCCCAGACGGGAAAACACCATGAGGCTCTTATCTCCAAGAAGTGGAGGTGCAGTTTAAGTGGTACAGTGCCAGCCTTGAGCAAAGAAGGAAGGAAGGAAAGAAGGAAGGAAGCAAGCAAGCAAGCAAGCTCAGGGATAGCACCCAGGCCCTGAGTTCAAGTCCCAGGACTGGCACCCTCAAAAGAAGGGCCCGGGTGCCCCCCAATATAGGACCCCCATGTAGGACGAGGATACAGAGGGGGAGGGCTGGAGGGGAGGGCAAGGTGAGGTTCTACTTTGTAATCCCCGGTAATTGTGATTTGATTCTGCAGGTATGTATCAGAAAATATAAAGCTAGGCAATTTGTCGGCTCTTCGCACTTTCAGAGTCTTGAGGGCTCTAAAAACTATTTCGGTTATTCCAGGTAAGCTACTCAGGTTTGCCTGTCAGATCTCAGCTACAAAAATGATTATGATTTTTTTTCTCTGTCTTCCCCGCCATGCCCCCTTCCTCCTCCTCCTCTTCCTCCTCCTCCTCCTCCTCCTTCTTCTCTTCTGATCGTGTCTTCCTCCCGTGACTGGCGTGCTGTCCTCATGTCTCGTGTGTGAATTTTGTGTCTCCCCCTCCCCTGTTACAGATACACAACTGAATTTGTGGACCTGGGTAATGTGTCAGCCTTACGCACCTTCCGAGTTCTCCGGGCCCTGAAAACTATATCAGTCATTTCAGGTGAAAAAATAAAAATCTGAAAGAAAAAGCAAAACAAAACAAAAAGATCAAAATGCCAAGGCTGAAAGCATAATGTCTGGGGGGTTTCCTCCCCCCCACGCACCCACCCCCCAGACATCTAGAAACCAAGGGAAAAAGACCCTCAACAAGGTCTCTTTGAATGTGCCTGTCCCCAGAATACCTTTTTGTTGTTGTTTTTCAAATGTGGGGTGTCCCCCACCCCTGCTTGGAGCCTCAAAACAAACCTAGCCAAGATCAGTTTATAGATGCCCTGGGGGGGGGTCTATAAATTTTTCCAAAATGCTGATTATTTTCCCTCCCCAAATGGAATTCTCCATTAGACACCTGGCTAAAATTGGGGAACTTAACCGTTGCTTCAACAGGAAGAACTTCTCCCCCGCACCCCTCAATCAGAGGAACCAAAATAAGCCTAAGGGGAACCTTCTAGAACAGAAAATAAAAGACAAATGAAAACTGAGCCGGGTGCTGGTAAGCTCACGCCTGTCATCCTAGCTATTCAGGAGGCTGAGACAGGAGGATTGTGGGTCCAAGCCAGGAAAATTCCGTGAGACTTTTAACGCCAATGAATCCATTAAAAAGAAAAAGCCAAAGTGGGGCTGTGGCTCAAGCAGTAGAGCGCCAAGTAAAGCAAGAGCACCAGGCCCTGAGTTCAAATCCCAGCATAGGTACCAGCAGAACAGGAGCAAACTCTGTGACAGTCTTCCCTGAACCCGGTGGCGGTGCTGAGCCCCATGTGGCCCTCCTGGGGCTCACGCCGGCACCACCAGCACCTCGGCCCTCCTTCGATGACCCCCTAAACTGTATACTGTGGACAGGCACCATCCGGCCTTGGCAGGCTGCCGGCCTTCGCTGCATGGAGTGGTAGAGGGCTAGCACACCGCGCTTGGTAGACATCCGCAGGGAAGGAATCCTCTCTGGCACATGTGGGCAGCTGTCCCTGGCACTCCCTCCCCTCTACCACCCGGGGAAGATGATTTCAGCCCCGATGCCTCTGGCTTCTAGAAGCTTCTAGAAGCTTCCTCTCCAGATACCAGCACATTCACCAAATGCACGGCGGTGGCTCAACAATCCGGCGTCCTCAGCTACTCGAGGACTGCTGCTGATCCCTGAGACTCTTCTCTCTGGCAAACCACCAAAAAGCTGCAGCTGTGGCTCAAGTGGTGAGAGCACCCAGCCTTGAGCATAAAGGCTAGGGACGGCGCCCAGGCCCTGAGTTCAAGTCTTAGTACTCTGAGTTCCTGTGAGAAACTCAGGTTCAGAGGAGCGCCTGGCCTCCCTCCTCCCTCCAGCTATCTATGTTCAAAGTCAGCCTCACTGGGTGCTGGCTGGGACCCCCCCAGTCCCCCAACCACAAACGCATGCATACACACACACACACACACACACACACACACACACATGCACACACACACCGCCCAGGCAGCTGCCAACATCTGTCAGGAAGATTTGCCTACAGAGAGCCTAGCACCCGCACCCCCCCCACTCCCCCTGGCAGACATGGCGGTGGTGGCAATGTGTTGGGAGATCCAGCTTTGAGGTGTGCCTCACGCCTGCCCCCACCTCTGCCCCCCTCCTCCTCCCCGGCCTTGGGTGTGGGCTCTGGAGACCCCGCGCACACTCACTGTCTGTCACTCACCTGTCTGCTGCTGCTGGCTTCCTGCAGGGAGCTGAGGGTGGGCTCTGTGTGTGTGAGGGGGCGTGGCTGCCACTAACCAATCACAGCCTCCGCTGTGGGTGAGTGGGCAGGGCAGGGCGGGGCCTGGTGGGATGGGGCGGGGCTCCGTGGGTACCCAGTGGTTAGTTGTTGAGCAAAGGCATCGGGTACCGAGTTCAAGTCCCCAGTCTCGGACCAAGAGGGAAAGGGGAGAAAAAAGGAAAAACAATGTCAACTCTTTCCCTGACTCTGAACCTCTCTTCTAAGGGGCTTGAGCCAAAGCAGATCCTTAGAATATCCATCAGCCCTCAAGCCTGGCACACACACACACACACACACAAAGAGAGCTATGAGCAGAAACGGCTGTGTCCCTCATCTCAACAAGCCAGGCGGAAGGGAAGCGTGGCTCACGTGGGAGAGGGCCAGCCTTGAGCAAATCCAAAAGAAGAAGAAAAAGCTAAGAAACAGCCAGGCAAAGACAGACAGACAAAGAAAACAAGCAGGGAGGGAGGGAGGAAGGAAGGAAGGAGGAAGGCATGGGGGCAGGTGGGGTTTGGGGTGAGCCCAGGTTTGGGGGTGACCCCGGGCCCGGCCCCGCCCCGCACAGGCCTGAAGACCATCGTGGGGGCGCTGATCCAGTCGGTGAAGAAGCTGGCGGACGTGATGGTGCTCACGGTGTTCTGCCTGAGCGTGTTCGCGCTCATCGGCCTGCAGCTCTTCATGGGGAACCTGAGGCACAAGTGTGTGCGCAACTTCACGCTGCTCAGCGACACCAACGGCTCCGTGGAGGCCCAGGGCCTGGTGTGGGAGTCGCTGGACCTCTACCTCAACGACCCAGGTGTGTGTGCGCATGGGCTTTCCAACCAAGGGGGGGGGAGAGTGCCAGGACTCCATCGAGGCCTGGGCCTCACCTCTCCAGGCCTCCCCAGCGAGCCTCCAGCCCTCTATATCTCTAAGCCACAGACGTGCAGAGGCAAGCTGGCTGCCCTCAGCTCAGGCCTGTCATCCCAGCTACTCCGGAGGCTGAGATTTAGAGGATCGAAGTTGGAGGCCAGCCCCAGGCAGAAAAGCAGAAAAGTCCATGAGACTCTTCTCTCCAATGAACCACCAGAAACATCCCCCCCCAATAAAAGTAGTGAACCTCCAAAGAAGCTGGGCCGCACAGGTCCCTCACCATCCTGTTTCTTTTGCAGACAACTACCTGCTCAAGAATGGCACCTCTGATGTCTTGTTGTGTGGGAACAGCTCCGATGCTGGGTAACGCAGGCGATGCCCCTCAGCTGCACCCCTCCAGCCTTTTGTTTATTTACACCCCCAACCTTACAAGACAATGAGTAAAGAAACATGGGGAGGGGGGAGAGGGAAAGAGAGATCTTCAGGGGAATCCTATACAGCCCTAAAGATGGTTGAGCTCTTTACCTAGAATGCTTTGTAGGGCCCCCCTACCCCCATACCCCCAACCTTGCTACTGAGGAGGCTGAGGTCTGAGGATCGTAATTTGAGGACAGCCCAGGGCAGGAAACTCTGTGAGACTCTTATCTCCAATGAACCACCAGACAACCAGAAGTGGCACTGTGATTCAAGCGGTAGAGTGCCAGCCTTGAGCTGAAGAGCTCAGGGACAGAGCCCAGGCCTAGAGTTCAAGACCCACAACTGGCATGTGCGCGCACACACAGACACACCCAGAGGACCCCTTATGAAATGTATCAACAGGGTGTCCATCTGTCTGTCTGTCCACAGGACATGTCCCGAGGGCTACCGGTGCCTGAAGGCGGGCCAGAACCCCGATCACGGCTACACCAGCTTCGACTCCTTCGCCTGGGCCTTCCTGGCCCTATTCCGTCTCATGACACAGGACTGCTGGGAGCGTCTCTACCAGCAGGTGCAGGGGAGAGGGGGGAGAGAGGGGCAGGTGGGACGGGAGGGGGGGCGGGACCCACACAGGGCCCAGACACCAGTGGCCATAACAGGTGCCCACCATTGCACCAGCCTTGGGCACAAGGAAGCTCAGGGACAGCGCCCAGGCCCCGAGTTCAAGCCCCGGGACGGACAGAACAATAAGATCAAGTGCTCAGGCAGTGAGTGAGGCCCGCCCTGCCCCCCCCCGTCCCCCCTGCAGACGCTGCGGTCGGCCGGCAAGATCTACATGATCTTCTTCATGCTGGTCATCTTCCTGGGCTCCTTCTACCTGGTCAACCTCATCCTGGCCGTGGTCGCCATGGCCTACGAAGAGCAGAACCAGGCCACCATTGCCGAGACGGAGGAGAAGGAAAAGCGCTTCCAGGAGGCCATGGAGCTGCTGCGCAAGGAGCAGGAGGTGGGGCATGCGGGCGGCGGGCGGTGGACAGAGGGGACGGGGTGTATGCGGTGGACAGGAGACGGGGTGCGGTGGACAGAGGGGATGGGGCGAGGTGGGCAGAGGGACAGTGTGTGCAGTGGACAGGAATCAGTGTGTGCAGTGGTCAGGAGACAGGTGCAGTGGACAAGGGATGTGTATGCGGTGGAAGGCAGGCGTATGGTGGACAGAGGGGATGGTGTGTGGGGTGGACAGAGGGGACGGGGTGCGGTGGACAGATACACAGCGTGCAGTGGACAGATGGGATGGGGTCCGATGGACAGAAGGGACAGTGTGTGTGGTGAACAGAGGTGACGGCATGCGGTGGACAGAGGGGACGGTGCAGTGGACAAAGGACGTGCATGCAGCAGACAGAGGCAAGGTGTGCGGTAGACAGAGGGGATGGGCTGCGGTGGACGGAGGGGAGGTGTGTGTGGTGGACAGAGGGGACGGCATGTGGTGGACAGAGGGGAGGTGTGAGGTGGACAGAGGGGAGGTGTGCGGTGGACAGGGGACGGTGTGTGTGCGGTGGACAGAGGGGACGGCTTGCGGTGGACGGAGGCACGGCGTGCGGTGGGCACCGGGCCCCACGCTTGCCGGCCT